TTTACAGCAAATTGCCATGAAAATGCATTTACTTCAAAATGACACGTTTTATTTAACGTGTTTCTTAGAATGAATTTGTAAATTGATATCCATCAAAAGAAAAGTCAAATTAATCCATCTATCCAGTTAGTATTAACAAAACAATTTAAGTCAGTTCCCAACTTAACAGCTACAAGTAATATGTACTCGGATATTACGAGTAAACCTGTCGCTTTTTTCCTTACCTGACCATGTTTAGGTCAGAAATAGAAAATACTGTTAGGTTAATTTGCTTCTCTAGATTCTCCTTGTGTGTTTATGCTTTTATGTAAAATTGACTAGCAAAACAAAAGTACCTATTTTATTGATAAAAGAAATTTGGTAGCAAAATTTACTTGAGTTTGATTGTTAAATCAACTCTTCTTAGTCAATCAACTTCGAAGCTTTCCAAGTATGGTTCTTAAAGTCCTTGTAAATTTTGTTTTTCTGTATCAGTATATCATTTACAAATTTTATATTCAAAAAAAATTTTGTATAGGGGTTTGAATTTTGTGTTGCTTAGCAACAGCTCTTAAACATCACTGCTCATAGTTGAAGTGAATGGTCAACAATTAGAGAACTCTGTCATTTTTCTAAAGTCGTGCAATCAGTGGCTGACTAAATACACTTTTGCCCAACTGTATTTCAGTGATTTATACGTCTCCCTTTTTTTTTTTTTTTACATTAAAGCTCTCTGTGTTTTCCAACAGAAATAGGAGCTCCTATGATTCCTTTGATGGTCACGACCCCATCCAGGAAGAATATTTAAGGAATAGCAGAGGTCTCACAAACTCCAGACATAGTTATGCCGAAATCAGTGGAGCACCCACCACATTTACTGAGTTTGTCCCACACATGCTTTCCCTCTTTTCAGGTCTTCCTTATAGCAGCAGCTGGCCAGAGTTGAGGAAGCGCAGCAAGCGCTACAGGGAACTATGCTCCCGCAAAAGAAGAAGGAGCCTCAGTTGCAGCGCCATCCCCCGTCAGACGGATATACATGGCAGAATACTGCCCCAAACCGTCCCCTGACCACTTCATTCCCTACAGCCTGTCCCCATCAATATGTTAGTTATGTTAGTAATTTTCTGTAGTGTTTCCTTCCTGTTTTTAGGCAGACACCAATAATTCTCTTCTTATCTTTTTTCCTTAATTGTTAAGTATCCTGTGAAAGATCAGTGTGGAGGAAACCCCAACCCCCCTCTTCCCCCTCCCACTTCTATGACCGTTTGATTTTTTTCTTCCTCCACTGTTTGTAGTTTTGTTTAAAATGTATTTGTTAATGGTTTTAAAGTTAAAAAATTAAAATGTTATTTTGGTTCTAGTATCTTGTCTTTGTTCATTTGTGGGCTCTTTCTGGTTGAAAGTCTGATAATCTGCTTTATTTTATCCTTTTGTGTTCCTTCAGGCATCTGAGAAGGGCTAATGTGATTTTCAAATGAAATAATTTTAAGATGGTAGTTAAAACTGTTTAGATTTTATTTAGGGATATTTAAGCAATTACATTGCTGTTGTTAAATAATAACTAAATAATCACAAACATGCTTCAAAAAAGATATTTTTGAATGCTTTCCGTAAGTTCCTTATATATATGGTATGCTTAGTATGCTTTCACTATATATATATATATATATATATATATATATATATATATATATATATATATATATATATATATATATATATATATATATATATATATATATATATATATATATATATATATAGTGAAAGCATACCAAGCCATCTAGATTCAACAGTAAATGGGGCATTTTGTGTGACCACCAGGGGCAGAGCTAGATTGGGGGTCAGGGGTGGCCCAGCCACCCTTAGCCAATCATTGGCCACCCATGTAGGCACCCCTACAATTTATTTCCCTCTAATACAGATGGTGACAACAGTAATACTCTCAAGTGCAATATTCAAAACATTTTAATTGTTCATATATTAACAATTACTTGACAACAAAAACACTGTGGTTAATTCTGCACATCAATATACTAACGTTAAAGATGATATGTACAGAATTCAAGCAGAAATAGATTTTGTGTTTTATGAGGTAAAGGGAAAATGATGTGTCTCTGTAAGTCATCTAGGAGTCTTCAGTGAAATCATAGATACATAACTATTTTAATAAAAACGTTAATAAATAATCAATTTATGTAGATATTAGTATTTGTAAATATCAATTTTATGCAGAATGATTACTGATAAAAGTAGGTAGGTAATGACAATGGAAAAGATGTTCGTCCAAAACTCAAACCAAAAAGAATTTTACCCACTATATCTTTTATCTAGAAAGGGCAGATGTTTGAATATATTTATCTATTTGTTAGCAAAGGCTGTGGGAAAGTATAGTTTGTCTGTTTAATTGAGAAAATACTAGTTAACACTAACATGTTAACACTGTGTGCGGTGGTTTTCTCAGATTTTGATCATTACATTGTTTGTTCTAACAAAAATAGTTTTAAGCAACTAGATTGGTTAATCTGACAGCAACTCCTACAAACTCCAACATCTTGACTGAATCCTGAGGCTGTTTAAATGCTGTCGTGGGAAAAAAGTATTCAACTATTCATCCTGGTTAAATAAACGGAGATCGATGGATTTCACTCAGTCGGCACATTTATTAATAATCTTTGCAAAGAGAGAGCAGTCATCATGAAGCCCTCATGGCACAGCATTCTGCTCTGTTCTGATCTGGGCAGGGTTCGTCCCCCCCTACTTAAGCAGTCAGAGTCATAACAAATTACACACACTTTGGTTAACAGTAAACCTTGAGAAAGAATCTGGATTGTTATGGGAAGAAGCAATGTCTGGTCTACAAATACCAGCCTGGAGAGAAATGTGTGGCCTTGAGAGAGAAACAGACTGAGTGAAAACTTTTATAGTGAGTAAATATGAATATTAATATATAATAGAAGAAAGATAAAATTTTTCCCACAACAGTCCACCCTTTCGATTATAAAAGGATATTATCCTTGTGTAATCGATATAATAAAAATGGAAAATTTATGAATATAAAAAAACTAAGAAACTAAAATTGTGAGTATATGTGAAGAAAGCTTAAATCTAAGAAACTAAAAATTGTGAATATATGTGAAGAAAGCTAAAAACTACAAAACTAAAATAAAATAAAAATAAGAAAAATAATGATAATTAAAAAATAATAAATCAAAAATCCACAACTGCATTAAGCCGGTGGACAATGTTAAATAATTATAATAGATGGAAAAATTATGGAAAAGATTATGATTGTTAAAATATGTTGCCAATAAAAGAGCCCTGGAATCACATCTTAGTTGGCAAAAATATTTACTGTTTTTCCCCATTATGATACTTTAATGAGGGGATTATTTTGCCCCTTTATTCTGATTTCTTTTGTTGAAGCTTTTCCTGGTTCCTTCCAGATGAGCTCCGATGAGCTCTGATCACTTTCTTTTGATGACTTTGAGCCACACCTCCTCCTGCTGAAGGATGGAAGGATGGCTGTGATGGTCCTGCATTAGGGTCTCCAGGCACCTTGGTCCCTCTGTAAAGCCTTCTCTGACTAAGGGGAAAAAAGGTCTTGTAGGTCATTTTAATGTGTCACCTGTCAGTCCTAGTCTGGCCAGAGGTCAGTGGTCTGCTCCGTTCTGTGGTCCGGAAAGGGTCGACCCGTCATGAGCTCATGTGGAGGAAAACTGGGAGTCAAAGTTACCAACATGCTGAATTAAAGGAGCTGAGGGAAGGACAGATCATATGTTATCTACTGGATTATTTCATAAACAATAGTAGATAAAACAAGTTCATGTAGCTTAAAGAACTTTAGATTAAAATTTGAACTTTGGACTTTGTCACAAATCATTGATTATTCCATAATTTCAAACTTACCCAGTAAATGTACTTCCTTAGTATTCGTACCACTTATCACTTCTGCACCTGCAGAACTCCAAACAAACTTCTCCTCAGCAGAGGACAGTGTGTGTCAGTGGGCTGCAGCAATGTAAACAAGGGAAGAAGCTGCAGCACAGCCTTCTGTTGCTTCCACCAGACATGATGTGTGTGGAAGAAGAAAATAGGCTTTCTATCTGATTTCAAGAACGATGTTTCCAAGGCGAAGCAAAATCAAAGAACCCGAAACAAGAGTTTCATGAGGTGAAGAAACACCGAACCAGGGCTGCAAGAAGGTGAACCATCAACAAACATCAACAAAGCTGGTTTTCCCAAACGCACATCAGACAGTCAGGCTGAGGTGTTCAAACTTCATCCAGAAGTCTAGCAGTCGTTTCTGTCCTCTGCTGCTAAGAATGACCTTAATAGATCATTTTCCTTTATAAGGCCATTTTATTCCCCTATTTATTTACTTTCCTGGTTTAGTCATAATTTAGTATTTTATTTAGGTTGTTTATTTATTCTGCTCTCAAATATCAACCCAAATTCCACATGGACTGTTCCAGATGGAAATATAAACACCATCTATATGGATCCTTATTAGTTTAGCTTTGCTGTTTTTCTCTTGTTTTATCTTCTTTCCACCCTTTTCTTCATCAGAACAAATAACATATGTTCTGTTGAAGAAAACCCATAAAGGTTAATTCAACTACACCTCCAGATATATCTGAGCTATGGATTCATTGAGAATAGATCATTTTAAAGCCTCCACCATTCATCTTAATGTAGGAATTAAATCCTGTTATTTATATCCTCTGTCACTATGATAATTATTATTAATGTTATCATTATTATTATTCTTAATAAATCATAGTATTATTTTTATCATTATTTCCAATTGAGTCATTGGAACACTGTATAATTATTAACCAATACTTAAGTTAAATAAATTTGCATATTTTTTCCAGATCAGCTTAAGATAGATTTACTTTTTAATGAATTGTCAATAATTTAAAAGCAAATTCAATCAGCCTAATTTTTATACAAGTTATTTTGCTCTACACACATATAGATTTATTTACCCTTAAAGTTTAATCTAAATCTTAAAGAATTAAGGGTAATAAATTAAACTTTAGCATTTAGCATTTAAATAATGACACAGGTCCATGATTATTTGAAGAAATGCCTAATTATTGTTAAACAAGCATAATCTGTTACTTTAATAAAAAAATTTTTTAAATCTGTCTCATTAAACTTTATTTGTTGTGATATTTGAACCTCATATCAATCCCCTTTATTCCCAATTTAAACAGCTGTGCATTAACTTTAACACATGTAACTCCTGCTTTGTTTTGAAAACAGGTTAGGGGGAAGAATGAGCCACATAAACTAAAAACCTTATTTTACAGTTTAACCTTAATTATTCACTACTGCTATTTTCCCAAGACAAAAATAACTAAACTGTCATTTCACAAATAGAAAACATACAATAGGTAGAGGGGATCCACAACTACAGACAACATATAAGACAAGCAAATGGCCGTAATATAGATGATTCAACTTTGTAATTATTGCATGCAAACCTTCATGTGTCTCTCAGGCCCTTTTTCTCACTGGGGGATTTAGGCAGATTTGTGGAACCCTTAGCCTGCCCATCTTCACCGAACCTCCTGTAACTGTGTCAACGGTAAAATGGACGCTTTTCAGTCTATTTATCCGCAGGTCATTTACTCTAGTCAATAAACAGCGAACCAGTTACTATTCTGCTGTAAGCCAACCATTTCTAACTTTATGTCAGGTGCTATTTCAGTCCTAATTCTGAAAGTTAGGATGTTTTTTTTTTTTTTTATCATCCTTGATTTAAATCCATTAAGCAGGTTTTAGGTTTTATTTATTTTTAAACATACTTGTTTTAATTGTGCCAAAAAAATATTATTATTTCACTCTCTCAGGAAAATATGCCACTTTGATTTAAATCTTTCAGGAATTAATTATTTATTTTTTGCAAATCTGTAATTTTAGTTAATAAACTCATAGCTTTTATATATTTTAGTTGCATTTTCCAAACTACATCCCATATATTTGGTTACCGGTAACTGTAAGGTTTATTTATTTTAAACACTTAAGGGGTGAGAATTGCTGACTTCATTGTTTATATGTTTTAAATGATATACATGTTTATTAATATTTTTTTGGAGGAAAGGGAAATCAATTCTCTTAGTTTTTCATTTAGTAAAATCTAATTCAGATTAAAGTGACACATAACTTTAGATTTTATCCTATTGGATTATATTATTCAGTCTTTTTCCTCTATGAGGTGCTATTTTGTTTACATTTTCATAAGTCAGAGCAACCATTACCTTTTCTCTGTCTTGGTCAGAACCTCAGACATTCATGGCACAGGGATAAAGCAACATACCACAAAATCATGAAGAGATGAAGCTAATCTCTCTG